TTGCCACAGTGCAGTTTGAACTTTTCCATGCTCGGACGATACTTGGGATCACACCAAGCATAGTTACCCTAGCATCCTGGAAAAGAGAGAGTGATTCAATGAACTGCAGAAGACTACCAAGTTCAAAAAAATTAAAAGATGAAAAATAAAAACATAAAATCTTCAGAAGACAACTGAATTTTAAGTTAACGTTTCAGCCATTCATTGGTTCACTTTGGCTGTCTAACATACACCTGATATGTACAAAAGAAAAAATTAAACCAAGGACGGTAATTTTCTATTTTTATCATAGATTGATTTCTCTTTATTATTTTTCCTCCTCCAATCATAACTTAACCAAAACTTCAAAATTATCCCAATCTCTAGTTAGTAAATATCCGTTTTTGTGTTCTAATAATATTTCTTCGTTTATCCAAAATGCATCTGTTCTCTTATATGGACGTGAACAACACAAAACTGAAGGTCAAAGCATATTGACTAATCATAGAATGACCACCATTAGCATTCTCCAAAACACACTCTAGCAGTCCCACCACTACATCACGTGTGACTCTCAAGCCAGCAATGAAGATCATGCATGCTAGGATAATGTTGCCTAAAGATAACGAACAATTCGATCCACTGTAAGGATTCTGAAGTATCATTTCACTTTGCTAATCAATTTTGCTTCTACTAATAGTGAGCTATGGTAAAGGATGGAGCATATGAAGTCCAATAAGGATGGTTTAAAGGTTATAGCATTTGTTTCACAAGGTGAATATATACATGGGACCCTTTTGAGTCCAACAGAGGGATCAAGAAGGATGGTTTAAAGGTTATAGCATTTGTTTCACAATGTAAATAACTTACAATTCATTTAATTGAAATCTCATTCCTGCTTGGGATGGCAGAAATGAGAAAGCCACCTAGCTTTGACTAAACACTGGATTAGACCACTATTCTCACCCCAAACTTTATATCATTTGCATTGTATTCCTATGATTAGCATTTTGAACCCAAGGTTTCATTAGTCAGATTATGTAAATTGAAGAATGGATCAATCGGCATGTATACAACATTAACTTGAGATCTGAAGCATCGAAGCAAAAAAAAGCATAGGTTTTATTCACCAAGTGCTAAAGGGATGCCCATGCACAAAAGAAGAATACATAAACGAGAATCAAACTATCTATTAGGTCTCCTAAATCCCCAGTAGACAAGCTCCCACATACTCTTATCCTCACAAAATAAAGTCACAGATAACTATCAGTCAAAACATGCATAATGCAATGGGCCAAAATAAGTCATGCAACAACAAATTATACAACTATATATATATATATATATATATATATATATATATAGAGAGAGAGAGAGAGAGAGAGAAACAGCCCAACTACATCCAAATTAAGAAATATCATAATAACATGGATGTAAAATGCCTACCTGTACAAACTTGGCAAAGCCAGAACCAAGAGGAGATCCATTGTATAGTGCAATGGAAGCACCATTTAACAATGAAGCATACACTAACCATGGGCCCATCATCCACCCAAGGTTAGTGGGCCAAGCAACAATATCACCTTGATGAATATCCATGTGGCACCATGCATCTGCAGCAGCTTTCAGAGGAGTCATGTTTGTCCATGGAATTGCTTTTGGATCCCCTACACCAGAAAATAAGCCTAATCAAGCGTGGCAGCATTTATGCTTTCCAGCTTGCACTTCAACAATAAAGTATCCATTTGATACTTCTACCAGAAAAAGGTATGCTTATACCTTTCAGATATTTCTAAGCAGACAGTGACAGTAGTGGCTCGGTATTAGAATGAAGACATCCAGAACAACTTCAGAACTTGGAGTTTTAATTTTTTTTTTTTTTAAAAAAGACCAAATTTCATTATCAGACATCATTAGATGAGTAACTTGTATATCCATTATTTTTCTGGGCCTAGTTCCCCACCCTTTACTTCTTATTTCTCTTGCTATAAAACTAGTAAAAACTATAAATTCCATAAACAGCATTTACATACTCTTCTAACAAAATATTTGACAACCCTAAAACTTCAAAAAAAAAGAAAGAAAGAAAAAGGAGTAATGATAACAAAGATGTTATCATGGTTATTCATTTAAGAAGCAAGATATTTGACCGTATTTGACAGTTCCGAAAACAAAGTACTTTATGTCGGATGAAGTTGATATAAAAACAATGAGGTTAAGGAATGGTTATGATTTGATTGCTGGGTGGTCCAGGAAATACCGTTTTCACATGGTCCAGGAAAGGATAAGACACATTGTTTACATTACCTGTCGTTCCAGAGGAAAACAGAATATTTGTGAATGCTTCAACCGGCTTTTCCACAGCCACAAATTCTTCTTCTCTACAGTTTTTTATAAAACAAAAGATACAGAAGTGCCATCAGACTCTACTGACAACAAAATCGCAGTCATGCCAAGAGATATAGTAGTATCTAGACAGCTCTCTTTTTTAGTTATAAGAAGCCAGACATGTAAGAAACCAATAAGTAACATGATTGTAAACTATTGTTCTTGTCTCCCCCTGTTTGTATTTTGTATTTGTATATAGAACTGTTATGTCCCTAGAAGATTCACTAACCCCTGCACCCTATAACTTTGCCGTACAATAATTTATTTCACTAAAGGTAGGTACTCTGTGCACTGAATGCTTCACACAAGACCCCAATCCCTTCTCCCAATAAAATTCCCAAAAACCTTATGCAGCCAATACACCTTCCTCCCACAAAAAATGTGGACAAACAAAAACCTTTACCATTCTCGCAATGCTAATGTTGATGACCTTGTCTAACACCAGAATAATATCAAATGATTTTCGTTTAATGACTGAGAGTGTCCTAGAAGGAGAGACTCTTATGAGGAAGGACCCAAATACCAACCAACAAAGCAGGCCAAGAAACAAAGAGTTTACTATTCCAGAAGGAGAGAAGAGAAGAGAAAATATGTTTTAAGTGCTGATATATCATCTTACATGCAACAAAGTAGCAAGGGAAAATATGCAAAATATTTCATACTTTGAATTTTTTACTTTTTCCAAGAAATCATTCCAAGAAATATCACTGCTGCGCAATTTCATGCTGAAGCTTGAGCCTTTAGCGGGAATAACAATTGCCATAGGTGCCCCAGCTTCCACAACTCGTCTGCAGAATTGAATCTAGTGTGAGAGACAGTATCACAGTAAAGATAAAGAAAAAAACAACATCAACGAATGTGTAGTCCATCGAGAGAACTTGACCTGTAAAGAGGAATACTTTTCTCGCCGCGTATTATAACATCCTGCAGGATGAGAAGTATGTGTTAATTTGGCCTCATTGTAGATACTCTTGCTGAGCAGTAAATCCAATTTTTGTACACCGGTGGCACCCCCTTGGCGCCTAATATAATATATATACTTACACTTTCTTCTCAATTAAAAAAAAAAAGGAAGTATGTGTTAATGAAAAACATGTTTATCGAATGCATATTATTAAGAGAAAGGGCAATGGTTATTGTGGGAAAAGTAGAATAAATTCACGGATCAAAAATGGCAATATCATAATGAACAAACAGAAGAAAGCCTCAACACCTTCATTCTTTAACATTTTATATGCAACAGAAAACATCTAACTGCAAGAGTAAACCTCCAAAATGCCATGTAACCGGACTTAGCTTGCCTAATAAAGAATTAAGTAAACTGACCAACAAGCAGAGAGATTACTCAAGTGATAAATGTGATGGGAACAAAATAGAAGCATAAAACTGCACCAGAATGCCTCAAATAGTTTCAACTTACACTTAGATTTTAATATATTCATGAAAAGAATTTTTAGAAAAGAATTGCAAGGAATAATTGTGGGACCTCACAAACGAAGAAGTGTAATAACCTGAGTAAATATGGCTCTGGCTTCTGAAATTTTGAGTCTTGTTGCTATTTCCTCTGGAGCAAAACTATCCGCTATGGACACAACTACATAGCCTGCCAGAACAATAGCTAGATAAATAACCACAGAATTGACGTTCATAGGCATATCAATAGCAATTGCAGATCCAGTGTCCAAGCCCAGGGCATTGAGTCCATGTGCCACCAACCTATATTTTAAATGCAAATCAATATATTACGTTCAATTTGTGTAGAGAACTAACGACTCGATGGCTTAAAAAACTCCAGAAACCATGCTAAAATGCAAATAAAGATAAAGCTCACTACTTGATGTTATGCAAGTAAATAAATGCTATCTGCAATAGACAACTATCAGTTTATGACCACATCTGCAATTGCAACAGAACATTTACCACAAACAAAAATTATTTGCATGACTTTTCTATTGTGGTTATGAAATTCAGAATTTGTATCAAACTAAACTAATCTACTACACAGAAGAAGTTTATGACATGAGAAAGGAGCATACCAAACCTCTGTCCGCAAATCCTTAAGAGTCATGACTTTTATAGGAAGATGATCATCTCCCTCATCCCGCCATCTTATTACAATGTCATCCAAACTTCTCTTAGGATTTATACTCAAGCAATCCTTTGCGGGGTTCATGTATGCTCCAGGAAGCCATTGACCACCTGGGTTTGACAAATTTTTCTCTCCGTATGGATTCTCATGCAAGATACATTGTGGAGGCACTGAGAAAGATATGCTCAACACATCCAGTACAGTCTTCCAATAAACCTAACAAATGTAGAGTTGAAAACCGATAACGTAAAATCTGCATTCAGTATCTATAGCATAAAAGCTTTTTTTACATTAACGCTACCTCCGGGTTTGCAACAGAAAATTCCTGAAAGTCTGAGAAACATGATAGAGGATCCTTGTATTTCGAACCCAATAACTGTTTTCCCTGCCTTTCTAATAGCTGTCCTACATTTGTCAATATTGCAGTCTCCCTAGACATCCAACAAGCGATTTAAATACAATATAGTAAATCACAAAGGAAAAAGAACAAAATGAGAAAATTGAAACATTACTGTAAATAGAAATTTCCAGTTCCCAGGCAACTAAAACAATGTTAAGCTACAATTCCAGCATATCAAATTTCAATTCCTATATTTATTCAAATATCAAGCTCCAACAAATACTATAGTTTATCATAACAAATGTCACCGTTAAAAA